TACGTAGCTTAACAGTAAATCGATGATTTGATATTGCATAACCCTCGATAGAACGTTCACTCATAATAGTTCGCTCGTAAATTGATCTCTCTTAAAGTTCGCGGACGGCGGGTCTACCCCAAACTGTGGTTACCCATGTACGTGTTTTTAGCGTCTTACACTCCATAATATTCACTCTTTCTTGGATCATCAGCGACAACACCTTCGATAAATCCGCCATTCCTCAACCATGTGCGCATTCTACGCTGACTACGCATGCGCTTCAACACGTACCCTCACAAGTGCGCTTTAGCGAGACGGCGATTTGTGGCTGCACGACAACACTAAAAAGAAAGCCCAATTTACAACTCGGGGCATTCTGCGAAGCCCGAGTAATGAATGCATCCAGATATTATATGGATTACGTTTCAAACAAAAAATATATATTTTCTTTTTTTTTTTTTTCACCTTTATCGGTAGAACTCTGACAAAAAGTTCGCGTTTAATATTTGTGGTCAAGCCTTGATCGCCTGTTTGTCTGACCTTTAAGCTAAATACCTTTTGGTGGATGTTAAATGAAACAGCGACCCTTAGGTAGATGTTATTTTTCGAATGTTGATTTGGTCATTCAGTTTTTAGAAGAACAAACTTTCCTTTCTTTGTTTGTCTGACCTTCCATGAAAAGTGTTTCATTACAATTGATTTTCCTTTAACCGACTCTGAACTGCTTTATTTTCAATACAAAGTTAGGACTGCAGCTTACCTTTCTGCCCGAAATCCTTTGGACCTTTGAACAAAGTGAACTTCGTTGTCGTTTGTAATTCGTGGCTTCGAATGATTCTTTAAACGTTCTCAAAATCTTAGACGTAGCCATAATTGGCAGAAATCGTAGAATCGAAATTTCCCGCCATTTTTCGACAACGCAGCAGTTTTCGTCATCACATCGAGACTGTCCACGGTTTATTTTTAGCGTTTCACCTTTCGGTAAATTCGTGCCACCCGAAAGTTTTCGTAACGCAACACCCAAAACCGTGACCACCTTCTGGAGGATATTACTTTGACGCGACCTAGGATCTGGGGTCGTATCAAGTCTTGTTCTCTAATCGTATGCTGACGTTCGCCATGGATGCAGTTACTTTAACATTACGACCAGCTGATGCTGATGACTTCGATGAAATAGTGAAACTTTCAGAGGGAATTTACGAGGGACATGATTATCTACCGTTGATTTTCCACCAGTGGCTTCAGAGGGACAACATAGTCGTCATACTTGCCCATTGTGGCGTTAGACTCGTCGGATTAAAGGCAAACTTCGTAGTAGATGACGGCCGCACTTTGATTCATCGAGCGGGACGCGTTCATCCAGATTATCGAGGTCAAGGTATTTTCAAACAGGTCGGCGAGTACTCCATCAAACATGCAAAAGAGCATTATCCTAATCTACAAAGAAAGCGGTTTACTTCCATTGGTGACACTGAAATTCCGGATCCGAGGAAACTTTTCGAGTTGCATGTAGAAGCGTATCACGTTGGGAAGAAATTCTGTGACAAACTAAAGGCAACCTTGACAAATTCGATGGAGATCAAGACGTGTGCACCTGATTATTTCGCCAATATTATTGAATCTTTACCAGCCAGGCTGTTCACGAGGAACTCTATTTTCCTAAGTAACTGGTGCCCTTTCGAAAGACTACGATCCAATGTTGATCACATTTTACGAGAAAGTACTGAACTCTATGTGGAGAAATGTGATGACGACGTTATTCCTAATTCTCTTGGTGTTGGCACGCTTTCCCCGAGGGTGAAATATAAGCAATGGGTCGCTGAGGTTTATGCCGATTCTCCAGATCTTTTTCAAGCTCACATCGTGCATCAACTAAAGCGTGCTTGTGAATTAATTAACGACGATTTTATTTTCATATTTACGATGCAAGACGAGAGTTTAAGTTCGCTCGTAAGGATCATCATGAAGGACCAACTACAGTTCAAAACGGCTGACTTCTATCATAACAAGACACTGAGAGTGTATGAGATGGACATAACCGAAAAATCCCACCGTTAAAATACCCCACTCACCCTATCCTGCTTTAAGACATTTCAAACCTGCCGCTAACTCGTCACCAGTCTTTATTCTCCTCTTTGCACCAATGAGTGCCGCTTGTGTTGCGTTGTGGTAGCGTTATTTTCAATATAGCTGAGTAAGCGACAGAAATCGGCAGATTTTGACTGAACATTCCGTAAGGGTTAGGCCTTTTTTTTTCCTTTGACCATAGGTACAAGAAATTCGATTTATTCTGAATGTGTAGAAGTAGTCTTTGTACGTATTTGTTTCGTATTTTATGGTTCTCAAGGACAAATGCAATCACTGTTTTTTTAGTATTTAACTAGACGCTCGAGGAGCGTTCACTTGGGCTTCGTATCGAGCGTTTTACTTGAGCATTCACCTCTGGATAGTTTGGTATAATTGAATCTAATCATGTCTCGCATATTGGGGCTCTATATTCATTTAAGGGGTCATCATTTTCTTCTTCGTTACTCTTTAATTTATCATTTTCTCTTGCATCATACCCCAATGCAGGACCACTATCTGTTGTTACATTGTTTGATGTAGCTTGTTGATGTGTATCATTATCGTCTGCATCATTTTATAAAGTTGTTAGGTTGCTATCAATATTGTTAATATCAACTAGTATGTCTTTGTACAATGATTATGTACTTTGAGCCAGTTAAGAACTTGCTATATTAACTCTGGTAGTGATGCTTGAAAATATACATGTCCTCTAGATTGTAACTTTCTTTTAAGCTTAATTATTATTATACAAGATCTGTCAGGTGGATGAGGGAGTTGATTACATGTCTGATCACATTCTACAGGTACATTGCATATTGCACCCCTAATTTTTCTCTGTTGTCCTTTATGCATGATCATAATCTTCTCAAATACTATTTGTTGAGCTATTCGTATTTGTTTTAGTGTTTATCATGAGGATAGTTCTGTGGTTATTTCCTCCACATACATATTCCCATTCACTACAGCCTGACATGGTTAATTTCCTTTTATGACCTTTGAATGACATGTGTGGCATATATACTGTTTTCCATCAAATGAAGGTTGAATATTGAAATATTTTTGGCAAGGGTACTTCTTGTTTAGGCATGTAATTACTGATTTCTTATAAAGTATTTGATTACAGACAGTACATTTAAAATAAGTAAGCCTTTATATGGGCCCAAGTGGCCCATGGGGCCGGTGCTTAACTCCGGCTTTCCTTTAGCATGAAGTGGCTAGGAGTGTTGCTACTCCCTCCTGGATGGGATGCTAGTCCATCGCAGGGTTACCCTCAGCACATTTGCTGGTACCCATTTGTACACCTGGGTGAAGAGAAGCACTGTGAGAGTAAAGTGTCTTGCCTAAGAACACAACACAATGACCCCGGCCAGGGCTCAAACCCAGCCCACCTGATCCGGAGTCGAGCACACTAACCATGAGGCCACCGCACCTCCACTACATATAAAATAAGGGCCTTCTCTTATTTTTGTCTTAAACTGGTTAATACACAATTCAACCGATCTGGCTTTCACTAATTTCCCATTGAGTTGAGAAAGTAATCCTTTCTTCTTTCTAGCATCCATAGTTGAATATTTCTTTTAATGTCTTCTAGAAACCTTTTTTTGGAAACGGGTTCCATGCTGTCATACATATGTTTTTTTTTTGTTTCTGTTTTCTCATGATGTGTTTCCTTCAATTTCAGTAATCTTACATGAACAGCAGCTGAATTGTATATCATATTCCATCGTCTAACATTCCTGTTTATTTGAATAAAATTATTAATTTCCTCTACTAGATTATCCACAAAGAGTAAATACTTGCAGAAAACCTCTGTCCAGAACCACAGGCCTCTCTACCAAAAGAATACTTTGTTTAAGTTTGATACTTTAGGTAACTTGCTTTATTTGCAAAATAATTAACATTGAAGGCATCAGTACATACACATTAATGCAACTGCCAAAATTTGTATCAGCCAGAAACTTGTTTATTTTTTCAATTATTAATAATCATGATGTTATTCCACTCATCAATCTGTATGGCCTTGTACAAATGTATGAAACATGTTTCTCTATTATTTTGTTCATGGGATGCTCAAGTTAAGATAAAATCTCCAATGATTATTGTTACAACCACTGCTTTGCCAAGCAACTGAGCTAAAACAGATTGAATAACTGGCAATACAGAAAACAATACTGAATACTCCAATTGGCAACTGGTTCAATACTGTCATACATATGTTTTTTTCTGTGTTTTCTCAAGATGCGTTTCCTTTCAATTTCAGTAATTTTACATGAACAGCAAATAAATTGTATATCATATTCCATAGTCTGACATCCCTGTTTATTTTGAATAATATTATTAATTTCCTCTACTAGATTACTATAACTTTCGCATTTTGGTACGTGATATTTATTTTGAATCTTCAAATTGTCTTGAAACTTAAAAGAAAATTGTTCTTTAAAAATTCACTGAAAATCGGTAGCCAAAATTATTTGTTTAGGGGTTATTTGATTTTCGTGTTAACCTGTAATTTCGTCAGTCGCCGGCACCTTTTGTTGCTTTACACAGAAAAAAACACACGATACGAAATGTAGTGATCGATTTTGTCCCCAATCTCGCGCTCCAACAGAAAAAGCTTTTGAACAACTGTAAACTCTGAGCGCTTCGGAGTAAGTGATAATTTTAAGGAATCTTCGGATTGTTTTCAAGTTCAAGGACTGTAAATTACAATTTTACGAAAAACAAAGGTTGTTCTCTTATTTCATTGTGAATCCCCGCACGCCTGCCAGTCGCTGGCGCCGCTTGTTGAAACTAAAGCGAATAAATATAAACTCTTTTAAGATTAACATTGGCTACTTTTTCACCCCACCACTACTCTTAGCAACAAAGGTCGCCATTTCCTTTGTTTACTGTTACACGACGTACAATTTCAAACGCAAATAAGAAACGCTGACCAACGCGTTTTCTTTGTTTTGCCGTGGGTTAATTTTGTTTTGCCGTGAGTTAATCTTGTTTTGCCGTGAGTTGATTTTGTTTTGCCGTGAGTTAATTTTGTAGTGCCGTGAATTTTTGTTTCGCCGTGACAGTTGTGGGCCACCGTAAAAGTCAACACCCCTAACCTTACGTCAACGTTCGCAATGGATGCAGGAACTTTAACATTACGAACAGCTGAGGCTGGCGACTTCAACGAAATAGTGAAACTTTCAGAGGGAATTTACACAGGACATGATTATCTGCCGTTGATATTCCACCAGTGGCTTCAGAGGGACAACATAGTTGTCATACTTGCCCATTGTGGCGCGAGACTCGTCGGATTAGAGGCATACTTCGTAGTTGATGATGGCCGCACTTTGATTCATCGAGCGGTACGCGTCCATCCAGATTATCGAGGTCAAGGTATTTTTAAACAGATCTATGAGCACTCCATTAAACACGCAAAAGAGCATTATCCTAATCTGCAAAGAGAGCGGTTTACTTCCATTCTTGATCTTGAAATTCCCGATCCAAGGAAACTTCTCGAGTTGCATGTAGAAGCATATCACGTTGGGAAGGAATTCTGTGACAAACCAGAAGCAACAGCCTTGAAAAATCCGATGGAGATCAAGACGTGTGCACCTGATTATTTCGCCAATATTATTGAATCTTTGCCAGCAAGGTTGTTCACAAGCAACTCTATTTTCCTCAGTAACTCGTGCCCTTTCGACCGACTTCGATCCAACGTCGATCATATTTTACGAGAAAGTACTGAACTCTACGTGGAGAAATGTGATCATGATGTTATTCCTAATTCGCTTGGTGTTGGCACGCTTTCCCCGAGGGTGAAATACATGCAATGGGTCGCTCAGGTTTATACCGATTCTCTAGATCTTTTTCAAGCTCAAATCGTTCATCAATTCAAGCGTGCTTGTGAATTAATTAAAGACGATTTTGTTTTCATCACGATGGCAGACGAGAGGTTAAGTTCGCTCGTAAGGATCATCATGAAGGACCAACTAAAGTTCAAAACGGTGGACCGCTATCACAACAAGACGCTGAAAGTCTTTGAGAAGGACTTGAACGTAAAATCCCATCTTTAACCCTCTACACCCTAACATGATCAGTATACATAGTCTCCATACTGTTCTCAATACATTTCCTAAGGTGCTGACAAGGAGAATTTGTTTAACAATCTAGAGCTTCTATCATCGATGATCATTTCCTTTTTTCTTGTGACCTTTATATGTGACTTTGGGGGTGATATTGTAAGGAGAAATTAGATGTTAGTCACTCTCGGGGGTTTAAGGGTTAAAATACCCCACTCACCCGATCCTGCTTAACTAATTAACTCCCATGAATGTCTCCTTACAATATCAATACATTATCAACCAGATAAGGGATGAGAATAAGGAACAATATCAATTTGGGGTTAATTAGTTTGGCCAATACTAAATTCTCTAAGCTTACATTATAAGAATTTTATGGTTTACAGTGAGGAGAATTACAAATTTGAACTGGGAGTTAAAGGGTTAACAAACCTGCTTTGCTAACTCGTCGCCAGTGTTCACTCCTCTTTCGCACCATTGCGTGAGCCAGGCGGCGTGCCGATTGCGTTACATTGTGGTAGCGTTATTTCAATATGGCCGGAAAAGCTGCAGAAATCGGTTGATTTTGACCGAACATCCCGTTTAAGTGAGGCCGTTCCTTTTTTTTCACCATAGTTACATGAAATTTGTTTGATTTTGAATGAGTAGAAGTATTTTTTGTACGTATTTGTCGCGTATTCTATGGTTCTCGAGGACAAACGCAATCACTGTTTTTTAGCATGTAAAAATTGAGGTGAATCTGGACATCGATAATTGAGAGGCCTGGACTGGGTACAGGCAGGGTGCATGTTAGTATTTTCCCTTTTCTTTAAGATAGAGCAATTTGTTCAGCATATAAGTCAAAAGACTTGGGTAGAGCAAATGGCTATTCACCACACTAACACGTTTTAATTGCGAAATTACTTTAGTATTACCGCTTAGGTATCTGTGCACGCGTAATTAGTAATCTTGCAAGCAAGCAAGCAACAAGTTTATTTCTAGCTTTAAGAAAGTTTTAGTTTCCCTCCCACTCACACCATTGACAGTTTCAATTGTATCTTCATCTCATTTGTGTTTGTAATTTATTCTTGATTACTGGACCGTTGGTTTAGTGTTTTCGTCCAATATCTTTTATGTAATAGTCTAGTTATTTACGTAGGATATATAAATTTATATATAATATAAACTTTGATCCTTATTTAACAGCTCTGACTAAACGCTCTCCAGCGGTACACATGTGTTATGTATTTTCAGTTATAGTGTTTGAGACCGGTCATGGTGGCAGAAGGCCTATTGTTGTGTTAAGTGTATTGCGTTACACAGCGTTACTATTGAAAGGACGTTTCTTACGTAAAATCAGTCGTGTGGTAAATCTACGAAAGCAAATTACTTACAAATTAAAAGAAAATCTACTGAAGCAAATGAATTAATCGCGAATATTGTAAATCTGTTATCTTAATCATTGAATGAAGGACATATGAATTAGAGCAGTGAATCACTTTGCAAAGGTTAGTTTCAAGGTTTCATTTCCCCATCCGTATGTTCTTGAGGTTTGGCAAAGTTGGATGAGATTGTTTCACAAAAGGCAATATTAATTTTCTTCTGTGTGCGTCTGTTCTTTTTAAGTATATTTTCCCTCCCGCAGAAAATGACTCCGGAGTTACAGTTCTCAAAACCTTCATATAGGTATCTTCTTCTCTTCAAGCGTATTTTGAAAGTCTCTACGTTTGTCATTAAACGAGGAGCGTGACGAATTCGTTCTCAGCAGGCGAAGGGCTTCTTATTTTACGAATTCCGTATTTACGCTAAGTGGATGACAAGAAAAAAAGTTCGTGTATAAGAAGGTCTCTGTCTCTTTATGATACGTTTAATTTATAACTCGCGTCTAGGAATGTAACTTCTGAATTTGATATTATTGACATTGTTCACACAGCCATTAGCTGTGAGTGTAACTGCTGCCATTTGTGAAGACTCTTACCCAAGCCACTTTCGATTCTGTCTGAATCTCGTCAGTTGCCTCCTAAGAAATCATTCTTCACGGAGGCTCGTAAACACTTTAAAACTTTCGGAGGAACGGCAACAGACAGTGAATCCCCATTACATTCCACTCAAATTCCCGCAACCTCGCTGCCACCAAAGATGTTCACTCTACCGTGACAAGATACAAATGACTCACTATTTGTGTTACGACCGTAATGAAACGCAATCAGAGTGCGCACACCGCCTGTGCGTGAGCTGTGCGCGGGAAAAGACGGGCAAGGGTCGAAAAAATGAACAACTGCACTGACATCAACTTAAAGGAATGAGGGGCAGGATACAAATGATCCACTTTTTGTGTTACGACCATAATGAAACGCAATCAGAGTGCGCACACCGCCTGTACGTGAGCTGTACGTGGGAAAAGACGGGCAAGGGTCGAAAAAATGAACAATTGCATTGACATCAACTTACAACGAATGAGGGGGCGATTTTTACTTAGCAACTTGATTAAGATTAATAACAGTATTGCATGCTTGGTCAGTTCACTGTGCTTAAAAAGGTCTTGTTTCAGACACAAATTATTCATTCGTTGGATTTTTCGCACGCGATCGGGCTCTGCGTAGCATCCAACCTCATTCCCAGGCTGCCCCCTGGGGTCAGGGGACTGGGGGACTGAGATTGCTCTGCATCTGTGCAGAATTCAAGCAGTGCTTCTATCTCCCCCTCTCTCCCTCCCCCCCCTCCCTTCCGCTCTTTCTCTCCCTCTCTTTCTCTTAGGGTAAAGTAGGTTTATTTTTGTTTATAATTATTTGGTCAATATAAACAATAGACCACGAAATACCTAAAAGTGAGTTTATTTCAGACAAATAGAAAGTTTTTTTTCTCCTCTCTCTTAAGTAAAGTAATGCAAAATTTTAGTTCTTTTTAAGGTTAGGGCTCTTTTTCCTTTACAAAAATTAAAACATCAGTTACACAGTGTCCTACCTCGACTCACCCATCCAAAAAAAATAACCCTTACATGCCTGTGGTTTTACTGTTTGTAACATCAGTGTCTTGTGTACTGTTTCTTTACTTTTTCTAAGTATTGACCTTTGCTTCAATGTTTCGTGCAACAAATGTTCCTTTTCTTTCCAATCTGACGTTTTTGTCAATGTCTAGTCTACTGTTTCTTCCTTTTACTTTGTTTGTTGCGATTATATTGCGCACTGTTATTTCATTTCTCTGTTTGGTAGTTTTGTTTAGTTGTATCTTGCGCATAGCTCGTTGTCTTGTCTCCGATTAAATATTTCGTTAGAATCTTGCACAGTGCTTTTTCTCGTCTCTGTTTGATTTCCAAATTAATATCTACCTCACTGTTTGTTCCACTTTACATTTGTTTCCTACGATAGAATCTAGCCCCCTGTTTTTTCCTGAACCCTTTAACTCCCATGAGTGACCAAGACAGAATTTCTCCTCACAATATCAACTCAGAACCAAGCAGACAAGTGAGGAGAATAAAGAAGAAAACTCAATCAGGGAACAACGAGTTGATCCAATGCCAAATTCTCCAAATTGAAATCATGAGAGTTTTATGGCGGAGAGTAGGGAGAATTACCAATGAGATCTTGGGAGTTTGAGGGTTAATTCTAACTAATTGTCACTTCCGTATCCTATGAACTGTTTGCACTCTTCTAGTTGGCGCAATGTTGTCTTCCTAATTCCATCTTAATATTCCGCTCACAATTTCTCTTCATCTCTATTTGTTAATACTTTTTTTTAAGTATATTGTACTCTGTTTGTTCTCTTACCCATTTAACTCTTAGATTACTATGTAGCGCCCAGTTCTCATCACTGTTAGATTTTTGCGGTAGTTCTCAACCATTTTTCTCTTCTTAGTCTGATTTTTACGAAGTTATCTCCTTTCGTTTATTCGATTGTGTCCTAAGTATCCCGGCACTTTTTGTTCCCTCTTCTAATAGTTTGTTATGTTATCATTTCCTGCACCTGTGAACAGTCTTATTCACTCATTAATGTTCACGGGTGCATGCAACGAGAGAATTGAAAACAGGATCACAGTGATTTAAATCAAAGATTAATTTTGAGTTTTGACGACACTTTGCTAGCTTTCTCAAATTTTTATACATTACGCTAATTTCTTGCGTTCAGTTTTCCCATCTCAAATTATTGTAGTTCCCTATCGATAGTATACTTCATAGATCAAACGGCTAAATTGCAGGTTTCCAGTCACCGTCGTTCGCTTTCGATTAAGCCCTGGCTACAAAACTACGCGAAATCTACTACTTGACTTGAAAAAGAAATTAAAAATGTCTTTGCAAAGTAATACCAGTGTCCAATGAAAGACAACGTACAGGAAGGAGAATCTTTTTGTACGATCAGTAGTCACTCTGTTTCTTCTCCGCCTCTTTGGTGTCCTCTCTGAGTTCTTCTTTCCTAAAACAAACATTATACATTTGTCACTATGTCAACTTTAAAGTAAACGGAACAGATAAAACAGTAAACGGAACATCGTCATAGCGTCTGGCATCGTATCGACCTTGAGGAATAATTTCTGAGTATATTGCATACAAAGAAACGCTAATTCAAAGCAAATTTTAGAAAGCCTTTCGTGCAAATATTCTGGCTTCGAGCACTGGATAAAATCAACTTTTTCTTCTTGGCATTTTGTGGATGAAAGACAAAGACAAAGACAATTACGACAACTAAGTGAACTGAACAAGTTAAGTGTGCTAATCGGTTTATCGTAGAAAATTGCTCATTATAATCAGCCTTACCCTTTTTTCATAAAATCAAATGTCACGTTATCCCCCATCAGCATAAACGGAGCCCATTGGGCAGGTTTGGGGTAACCATTGCTTCTCATCCATTGGACAGCCTGGTGAAGAGATTCACTGGCACTTTCTCCACGAACAAGGTGTTTATAGAAATGTTTCATGAGCTTCGCCGTTGCTTTGTCTTCTAAAGCCCACGATGCTACCAACACTGAACGTGCACCGGATGCTAAGAATGCTCGAGCGATTCCAATAACTCCTTCCTTTTTAACCAATCCGCGCCCACTATGACAACAGCTGAGTACTACCAGTTTAGCTCGCACTTGAACTCCTTCAATGTCGGACATTGTCAGGAGGTAGTCTTCCTCTTGTGGAGTGCTGTTAGTAGTACATTGAGGAGAGAGGAAAATCTCTCCTCTTTCGGCATTTCCAACTGAGGCAAGATATATCAGACTCACTGAAGGTATTGCTTGAAGAACCGCCTGCTTTGTTGCGCGACTTCCTAGCAAAGGCTGAACGCCCAGCAGTTGAGCAACCATCTCTGCTTCCTTACTTGCAAAGAAAATTGGAGTCATGTCAATGAGACGTCCATTGTAATGCACTTTGCCAACCGTTGGATCACCCACAACCAGTGCACCAGTTTGACTGTGATAATCTGCTGGACATTCTTGGATGAGCCGGAGAGTCGTCAGTGAAGGGACGATGCGTATTCTGTACCTCTCGGATAAATACTTTCCGGCTGGTTCATCACGCAAGGCAGCAAATGGGACTCGGTACGAAAAACGATCCGGTACAATGATGATTTCGGGCTCCGTAAGTAAATCTGCCACAGGTGCGACGATCCATTCGTAGCACAAATAATGACTTCCTCTGTTATCTTTGGTTTCGTTACCTCGCAAATTTGCTTGGCTCTCTTCATGAAGAGATGTCGTAACTTTGTCATCCGGCGATCGATCTTCGCAGTTCGCTGCGGGTAAAACATCAAAGCAGGTGGTGCACTTTTCGAAAATGTCTTCCACATCACAAACCTTCACAGCAACGTGGTCATACGGCGATCGATCTTCGCAGTTCGCTGCGGGTAAAACACCAAAGCAGGCAGCGCTCTTTTTGAAAATTCCTTCCACATCGCAAACTTGCTCAGCAATGAGAGTCTCTACTTTCACTTCGTCTGTTTTTCGAAAGAAAATGTCTCCATTTGCTTTCAATACCCAGAGAAGAACTTTCCGATCTGTATACGAAATGTACAAAAAAACACAGTTACTTTCTCTTTTCACGATGTTTTCAATCCCAAACCATGATCGTGGATCAGCTGAGATGTGGCTTTCAGTGGAGTACTTGCCTGCCATGAATTCTGCGAGGACTCTTGCTCGTCCCAGCTCCTCAACGTAGAGAGCATTTTGGAATTTTCCAGTACCGCAAAGGAAGTTAGTGAGTAACATATAGGGAAACGTACCGTGATTCTCTAACAGAGACATTTGAAATCCGCTGTTTCCTTTCAAAAGAGTTCTGATTTGTTCATATTTTTCAATACAACGAAGCAGATAATCCTTTGCCTCCGAAGCTTCTGATTGCGATATCTTTAACACTGTAAAGCTGAGAAGGCTTTGAAACTCAATCATTTTGTTTCCAATTTGGCTGCTGATGGAACAAGCTTTCTGTAAATAATCTGCTGCTTTGCCACATTCACCAAACGATAGGGATAGATGTCCAAGGTTTAGGTAAAGTTGTGCTTCGAACTCTCGATTGCCACGTTCTCTCCTGATTGTAAGCGCCCTCTCACAGTATTCTTTTGCCTTCTGACTGTCATTTACATTAGCAAAGACAGCTGCCAAACCTACAGTGGCCATGGCTCTTAATTCTCCGTCACCAATTGTAAGACTGACGCCGACTGATTTGTCCAAATGTTCTTTAGCTTGCAAATTTTTATGAAGCTTACGGTAAACATTTCCAAGATTAAAGTATGCTAAACCTTCTCCTCTTCTGGCGCCAATTTCTATTGCAATGGCAAGCGCTTTCTCGTGATATTCTCTAGCCTTCTCATGTTCGCCGAGGGAGTGAAACACATTTCCGAGGTTCCCGTATGATGTTCCTTCTCCTTTTCTGTCGCCAATTTCTATCGCGATGGTAAGTGCTTTCTCGTGTTGTTCTTTAGCCTTGTGGTATTCGCCCAGGGAATGAAACACACTTCCGAGGTTCCCATATCTTGTTCCTTCTCCATTTCTGTCGCCAATTTCTACCGCGATGGCAAGTGCCTCCTCGTGATATTCTTTACCGCGATGGCAAGTGCCTTCTCGTGATATTCTTTAGCCTTGTGATATTCGCCCAGGGAACCAAACACACTTCCGCCCAGGGAATGAAACACACTTCCGAGGTTCGTGTATGTTGTTCCTTCTCCATATCTGTTGCCAATTTCTATCGCGATGGCAAGTGCTTTCTCGTGATATTCTTTAGCCTTGCGATATTCGCCCAGGGAATCAAACACACTTCCGAGGTTCCCGCATGTTGTTCCTTCTCCACTTCTGTCGCCAATTTCTATCGCGATGGCAAGTGCCTTCTCGTGATATTCTTTAGCCTTCTGATACTCACTGAGGCTTGAACAGACATTTCCAAGTCTTACATGAGCCATTGCTTCTTGTCTTTTGTGACCAATTGTTTTCATGATGGTGAGTGCGCCTTGAAAGAGTTGCTTTGCCTCAACAAACCGGCTTTGTGCTTCATATTTGTCTCCCAGTATTATGGTTAGTCTCCCAGCATGGTGGAACGTGTCAAGAAGTGTGGTGACATATCTTTCCGCATCAGTGTAACCAGAGATGGGGCGGTACGCATTGAATAGTACATCGGAGATACCAAAGTGACCACCAGAAACAAGGTTTTGAAGTAGAATTATACATTCATTACATAACGCAGTCGCTTGTAGGCCACGATCAGTGTTCAGAAGAAATATGACGACATTTAAACCTATCTGGACTGAATTAAGGATTTCTGCAGCGTCACTCATAACGGCTCTCTCCTGTTTTTCGTCGTAAGAAAGAATAAACAAAAAAAGGAAGCTTAAAAAAAGTAACACTGACAAATTTTCCAGTCTGTAAACTGTGTTTAGGGAATTTGTGATTGTCTTCCTTTTCAAAAATGTTTGAGCGCAATATTCCTTTTTCATTCTATTTTTTTTAAACCAGTCACAAGTGTATCATCTGGGTTCAAATTAAAATAATCGTAGAGCAGATTTGGGTAAAGCTATCAAAAAAATTTCACCAGTAAAACAGTAGTTCATTTACCAATCGTGTTATGTTTGCATTCTGGTGAAAGGGTTTACACGTGACGCGTGATTGAGGCTAAAATTAAAATGTGAAGCGTGAATTTCACAGAAAGGCGAGCGTGATTCGTAAATTTATGAACCAATGTGGGGCGTGATTTGCCTCCTGAAATATACGTGACCCGTCAATTTCCTCTTTCATTTCGTGAAAAAAATCAAGATTTCCCAGTAACCTTGTACACAAAAAAAGAGATTTGAAGGTTTCCCTTTTCTACAGGTGACGCGGGAGTTTTTTCAAAAAATTCGCGCGTGAAACACGATCAGGATCCCCACTTTGCAACCCTTCACAAACCAGGGACAAACTCAGCTCTAATTTTCATTGTCATTTGATTCAGAATCGAGGCAAATCAGTATATCTTGAATCGATCCGGAGATAGCCATCTATGTGACGTACATCTACTTTCGTTGCGTGGTGGACAAGTTTGATGAACATAAAGTGGTAGTAAAATTAAAGTTCTGAGACAAAGCAAAACCAAGGATAAAAACTGTTTCGGGTCAGTCCCGAACCACTTTTTCAAACTTACATCTAACTTTTATTTTACAACTACTTATACTGAGACAAGCTTGGAAATCTAACGTCATAATTTAACAAGAAAATTACATATTGACTTGTCAACCTTCAGTATCAGAACGAATTTCGATAAATTCAATCATACGACAGGATCAGCATCAAAATTGTAATGTATATGCGACCGCCTTTGTTGGTGAAAGCTATCTATTTTGTAAAACGGGAAAGACTGTTTCTAAATTTATTTTTTTATTACGAACCTTTTACACAAAAAGCTTGTCTTGTTTGATATTCTAGTCGTATGACTGATGAAACCAAAAGTAAGAAACTGAAATAAGAGTTTCTCTGCAAAACAAAGATAAATGCAAATAGCCTTGAATTAATTTAAAATCTAGCAATACTGTGCGATTTGAATATACTCTGCGATACAACCGACACTGAAAAATGTTAAACTACTTAGGAAGGCCAAGGAAACAACATTAGACGAGCTGGGTCAAACGGAAATTTTATGACAAGAAGAATTTCTGCTCATATGATGAACATTTTCCTGAAAAAATTTCAATTTCGAATGGCCTTATTTTACCCAATTTTTACAATTTTTTGTTACCACCTTTCTAAATCTGAAAAGTTGTTTTGCCGAAGATAACTTGACTGACCCCACGCCTGAAACGCTATGTGTACAACGTGTTAACATTTGTAAACTTCTTATAGCGTTTTTGGGCACAGATTGGGCATGTCTATTTGATTCAATTCACACAAGCGATTTGATTGTTATCCAACTGATGGATAGGTATGAATGAAACGAATTTGACTCAACACGGCAGAAATACCGATGTTAATGCGTCAGAGATTTTTTCTCCAAGGGATACGAAGAAAATTTTGAAAAAAGAAGGGAATTTATGAAGAACGACGTCCTTCTATAGCAATTCAAATTGAGTCAGAATATTAATCAATATAATAATGGTCTATGCATGTAAAAGCAGACTTGATTACCAAGGCGTTGAAATATGAATTTGGCAATTGATGAGAAGTCGCATCAACACATCAGCACATTAATTAACAATTAAATATCGCACTTACCTCGACTCAAACTCTGAACGCTTTATTGCTTTGTATGGTTGAAGCAGCCAAATTGAGAGTTTCGTTTAGAATCAGCGGCATGTGTCTATTCTAAGGTTATAAGCACGTGGTGAATCTCAGCCCACCCCTGAGAGGTCCGAGATTTAATATAATTGACTAGACAATTCGGGAGAGGTTTGCGGGGAATCTGGCACTAATTGTCAGTACCAGACCCCGGTCAGACCTCTCGGTGGCTTGTGTTCCTGAAGGTCGCATAGTTCGTGCGAGCGAAGATGCGCTCGTGACCAAATGTCAATAGTGAGGTCTCGCATGCTAGTGGAACCTCCTTCGCAGCCGTTGTTCGCTCTCGTCACGCAATGGGAGGAAAGAGAGAACGTTGCGTGACGAGACCAAAAAATGGCGGCGAAGGAGACTACATTGAGTGTTGCACCAATGCTGTTTATTTT